TCCATAGTTTTATTAGTTATAGATAAACTGCGATTGTTTATACAATTTTGTATTTTCTTGCATGTAGTTTTATATATTATATGTATCTTGTAAATTCTTACATCCTCATCTCCCTAAAATAAGTAAATATTTCACGCAGTTTGATTGTAAATTAATCATTATTTTGTCTGATGAAGACTATCGAATCTTCAATTCTTATAAATAAAATATGTTATAAAACGAATGATCACAAGAAATGGGCATTTCTTTTATCCTGTTAATACATAGTATAATATCGTACATTATTAAAATAACTTGTGTACCATTTTTTTTTTTTTTTTGTGATCTGGTTTATGGCACATTTTATATATTACTGATATATTAATAACAATATTTGTATAAAGAAGCAATGTGATACCAGTTATGACGTACGTATGATTAAGATTACATGCTAATACCTAAGGAAACAAAATCTTTAAAAACGTGAGAAGTATGATATTTTTTTAGAAAGTTGGTTGCGACTGGGTGTTGGGTTCAGATGCGATCAACGACAGATGCGGGATCTGCAAAGGTGACGGCACGAAATGCAAGCCGATACAAGGTTTCTTCAATGCCTCGGGTTTTGATGATCGTAAATTATATAACATCATGCATTATTAAAAAAGATTGTAGAGATATTTCTATTATAAATCTCCCTCTTCCGAGCACTGAATATATCAATTTGCATAAGTATTCGCGGAAATACAGAATTGAAATAACTTGGAAAAGCTTGAAGTATAACAGTAAAAAAAATTGATCTGTTTTATTAATAATAATTGTAAAATTCTGCTTTCTAGTATATACGAAGGTAGTTACTTTCCCTAAGGGTGCGCGAAGTATACACGTAGCGGAACTGAGGCCCCACAGAAACGCACTAGCGATAAGATTCGAGCATAGTAACACCTATTGTTTAAACGCAAACAAGTAATTGCTTATATTGTTACTACAAAATGAATTATGTATGACTATTATATTCGGGAATTAATATTACATTGTTTGGTTCGAGGAAAAATGCTAACTATCATAATATCAAAAAAATTTGAATTTATTGCATAATAAATTTTATTATTGGGATTATGAAAAGAATATCTAAGAGTTCATATATGTTTGTATTTTTTTTTTCATTTTAGTTTATTTTAGCTAAATTTTCTTGAAATTTTTAAGAATATTAATATTTATAATTACCAGCCGAATAGCACAAAATTTTTGATATTTTCCCTTGTATTTCACTGCAAATGTTAGATTTAACATTTTTCTCATTTTTAACAGATTAAATTAGATTCATTATTCAGCAAAGAATTTTTTAACGATCATAGATTTATACAGAGAAGTGGTGATTATGAATGTGCAGGCGCCTCCATTGTATACACATATCCTGAGCCACGGAGAGAAGAACTTCAAATAAAGGGACCCATAGCAGAAGACATTCGATTAGAAGTACATATATATTAATTAAAATCCCATCCCATAAAATATATACATATTGCTTAATTCTATATTTCCTATATATATATATA